CAATGAAGCTTTGTATCCAGTATGTAAGTGTATGTAACATGTAGAGACTAACTATATTAACTGATATCATAAAATTTTTTCAAAAACTGCGCGCGCAACTAAAGACATAAGAAATTCTATTATTTTTCTGAAATGGAAAGGGAACGGTGCAGTTCTTTCAAATGCGATATTCACATATTACATGCATGTTCTTCTATTTCTCTATAGATATTCACATATTACATATATGTTCTATACCAACAATCTTTTGTGAGTATGCACTGTACGTACATTCGATACAATTCAATATCTTAATGCTACAAATTCATATTACTTATACACATTACTAGTTGCTCCCGGCCATAAGCCCTTTGCGCTAATTTGGCGTGAACAATATTATTATCCGGTGTTCCTTAGGAAAAGAAAGGAGTAATTACAATGTACAAACCGGAGTTTAGCTCCAATTACGTTGTGAACATAGAAGAACCGCCCCAAAACACTCCGAGCCAATTATAATATTTACTCCCTTAAGGTTTTTAGGCTTATCGGTATATTTTATCGATAGTTCCGTAATAGTTCAACACTAATTATCGGTCGGCCGCTACCCAACACTACTTCTACATTATTTTTTGTACGGGCGTAATTAGAAAGCAGTAATTAAGCTAAACTTGTACGTCCCACCAACAACCAACAACCACACATAACTATATTGGGCGGTGCAGTGTATGCCCGCACCATTTATCAACTGGCATAACCGCGCATCAATTGCCAATATAACAAATAAATGTTTTGAACTACGTCGCCATTTTTGACACGGCTCGAAATCATCGAAAACACAAACGCACACAAACACACACCCAGAAATACCCAGACCAGAGCTGAAAAGAAAAACCGATCCGAACCGAACAGAAACCGTGTTTTGCTTGCGTGTGTTTGTTTGTTGGTGTTTGTCTGCTGTTTGGTTACGTCTAGGAATTTTTCGTTGGCACGCATGGACAGCAGAGACATTATTAGCATTATTAGTGCACAATAAAGCGAAACTAAAACCACTGATTTTCAACCACCGCCACAGCAACAGCAGCAGCGACGTACGTGTACACCATCATCAGTATCAGCATCCGCATCGGCATCACCAGGAGGAGTAAGAAACAAGAGCGCAACTGTGATTTTTCCCTCATACGAATCAGAATGGCCAAGACGTACGACTATCTGTTCAAATTGCTGCTAATCGGAGACTCTGGAGTGGGCAAAACCTGCATATTGTTTCGGTTCTCCGAGGATGCGTTCAACACCACCTTTATATCCACAATAGGTGAGAATGTCTGCCGTCCTCTAAGCCACCACTATCGATCGTTGCAAGACATTACAGTCCGCACACATCATCGGATCTCTTTTCAATTAATTATGACGCCGCCGCCGGACTTCGTCTGAACTCACACTCATTCACTCCACTCACACTGCACTTACACTCATGTGTGGCTGGCTGGCTGAGCGCTCGTCTCAAGCTCGAGACCGTGGTGTGCCATGACTCACATCGAACGCTCTTCTTTTCTTGCTTGAGTATTTGTCATAATTATTATTGTTTTTATGTGGTACCCCGATAGGTGCGGACGGACTGTTGGGTAGGGGCTGACGGATTTTCAACAAAGGAATCTCTGAACGGAACGGAAGAGAACCTGACCCATTTGTGTTTTGTTGTTAAGCTGCTTATCGCAGCCTCGAGATTTGGTACACACCCACCCCCACCCGCATAAAAATTGGGTGCCTAAGCCAAGACTCAACCAAAAGTCATTGCACTTTTCAAGCTCTTATCATGAGGTCTTCTCTTGATAATACGAGAGTTCCCGAGAGCTCCCGGATTCCACTCGCATTGCTGTTCGGAATCGACTTGAGGGGCAGCCGCCAATTGTTTATTTTCGTATTTGGCACGTTTCCCTTGCGCCAATTTCTACTTTTGGTCTATTTACTTAACGACATTGTTTTATTTAATTGCGCGTTTTGTCCCGCTTCTTACTCTTACCCACATTCTCGTGCCGTCTTTCTCTTTGAGTCTTCTCTTTCGGCACATCCCGTACGTCATCATCTCTCATAGGTGCTTTTTTTCTGCAAACAGGTTCAGGTTCTGCTTGCCAAATTTTTATTCCGATTTACTCATGTGATTTACTCTCTCTCTCTCCCTCCCTCTCTTCTCTTTTGTATCTCCCAAAGGTATCGATTTTAAAATTAGAACAATTGAATTGGATAACAAGAAAATCAAACTTCAAATATGGTAATTAATATATAATATATATAAATGCAACACTTATCAGCACTAATATCTCTCTCTACATCTTCGTCTATTTAGGGACACTGCCGGCCAGGAGCGATTCCGCACAATAACCACGGCATACTACAGAGGTGCCATGGGCATTATGCTTGTGTATGACATCACCCAGGAAAAGTCGTTTGAGAACATCAAAAACTGGATCAGAAATATCGAAGAAAATGCCTCCGCCGATGTCGAAAAAATGCTGCTGGGCAACAAGTGCGAATTGCACGATAAGCGACAGGTACGAAAGGAAGTGAATGACTTACTGGGCTATTGTTAGATTCGCAAATGGGGTTTCTTTATCAATGAGAGTGCGGGTTGAATCATTTAACCATTGGAAACGATAATTACTTTATTGGTAACTTCACTCTCTTCTCACTCGAAGGTTTCAAAGGAGCGTGGCGAGCAATTGGCCATAGAGTATGGCATCAAATTCATGGAGACCTCAGCGAAAGCCAGCATTAATGTGGAAGAAGCTTTCCTCACCCTAGCCAGTGATATTAAAGCGAAAACGGAAAAGCGAATGGTGAGTGCATCAATATACATGTAGAAAAATATGTATCATAATTCGAATGTCGTTTATTATCCGTGCAGGAGGCAAATAACCCACCAAAGGGCGGACATCAGCTAAAAACGTTAGACAGTAGGACAAAGGACAGTTGGCTGTCCAGATGCAGTCTGCTTTGACGTGGCTGCAACATGTGGCTGACGGCACTGATACTGATGCGGAATGGTGGTAACAATTTCGATTACACTGTATGTGGAGGGAGTAGTATTCTTAGCTCCTCTTAGTTCCGATAATCCCCACGTGACACCGAATAACTGATACAACAAATGCATCCAAACAACAAAAGCCAGCTCCTGCTCTCCTCTCCCCCGAATATGCGCGATAATGGAATAGAAACATTAATTGCATTATGAAACAAGTTATTAAATAAAGTATATGACGACAGTGTGTGTGTGCGAAATATACATAAATATAACTAAACAAACAAACAAAAACACAGTCCACACGACAAGAGAGAAGAGGTTGAAGAGCAGCCAATCCAAAACAATCCAACCCGCCCGCGTTCTCTAAGACGTTTCTTTTGCTTAGTAGTATTTTAATGGACCTATAATTTTTCGATTGTAAATTATTAATTGTAATGCCAGTATATACGTATACATGTATGTGTGTATGTGAATGTATGAATATAATTTAGGTTTCTTGTCCCTTGCCTGCTCATCCAATTGTTTGTGTTTTATAATTTATTAATGCCACATACTTTATGTGTATTGTATATGTATACTTACAGACAATCCTTTGCCATTTTATTAGGAATATACAGCATGTTCAGACACGCACAAAACTCTATGAACTCCCCCACACACACTTTTTCTATCACCACTAATATTCGCTCAAATTCTTACTTTTAACGGCCACTCGATGATATCTGTATGTTGTACCTAATGTGGTGCGCGGGTGCTACTTCTCTTATTATTTTCCCCTGGGCTTTCGACACATTTCATTTTGCTTTATTTGTAGTAGCTATTTTTACTGCATTTATTTTTTTTCTACCGCAAGCCACACACGACTGTTAATAGCCCGTTAGCTCCAATGATTAAACCATAACCGAGCAGAGTAGATATGCAACAGAAAATTGAGAAATTACTCGTACCGTACAGGTCGTCGTCTCGATCGATAGATGCATACGTCGAGATGATAATGATGCAGCAGCAGCAGAGCAGTGAAGTAAATACTGTGAAAATTAATGATAACTAAATGCATATTCGATATTAATTAATTACTTTTAATATTAATTATTAAACGTATACAATTTTATATAAATACAAACAAATAAATCATGTGCAAAAGTATATTTGTATGTATGCAATCCTATCGCTGCTCCGGTCTTTCATAAAGCGGCATCCAAGTAATTTTCTGTGCGAACAACGTGGTTGGTGTACAAGAAACAGGTCGTTCCTTTGAATTTAATACACACCTCAGTTTCATAGCGGCGACCTGTTGTCAGACATCAATTGAATATTCGATATGCCTGTTTACTATCGATAGTTGCATTTTGCATTTTTCAAAACTGGTTACAATTAACATAGTATAATTTAAGTATTAAAGACGTAGGTAAACCGATAAACAGTCATGGCGGAAGCCGTAGCATGCCAATTGCAGTACGAGAACAAGGAGGTAGGTACCAAACAGACTGCATGTAAGATTCCCAGCGCTCCATGCTGTCTACACCACATTTTCTGTGATCTTTTTTGCAAATTTCGTAAATGTTTTATGTTTTTAGAACTCTATTCTCTTGCTGCATGCCGGCGTGCGACTAATAGGTCTGCTACGTAGTGGGGAAGTTGGATGGCACGCAAATGAGTGACCACGCGGAATGACACAAGCGTCCGATGAACTGTGCGGTAGCCTATTAGGCCTCGGTATCAGACGATCGATTCGTGTTCCTGGTCCATCCTGGATAGATCTCACAGATGACAAGGATGCCATAAATACTCTGACTTTGACAAGTCAAGCAGCAGAAACTGATCCTCAGGCCCATTGCCAGCGGATAAGGATGCGTCAACTGTAGGAGCTCGATGAGCTGGCCTTGACCTATGTGCCTGTGCCTGCCATAGATCTGGCCCAGATGGTAACTCAGAGCACGAACAAGGAATCATATTTACAATAATTGCCGCACTATAGTTTCGATATTGTAATGGNGTACGTTAACCGATAAACAGTCATGGCGGAAGCCGTAGCATGCCAATTGCAGTACGAGAACAAGGAGGTAGGTACCAAACAGACTGCATGTAAGATTCCCAGCGCTCCATGCTGTCTACACCACATTTTCTGTGATCTTTTTTGCAAATTTCGTAAATGTTTTATGTTTTTAGAACTCTATTCTCTTGCTGCATGCCGGCGTGCGACTAATAGGTCTGCTACGTAGTGGGGAAGTTGGATGGCACGCAAATGAGTGACCACGCGGAATGACACAAGCGTCCGATGAACTGTGCGGTAGCCTATTAGGCCTCGGTATCAGACGATCGATTCGTGTTCCTGGTCCATCCTGGATAGATCTCACAGATGACAAGGATGCCATAAATACTCTGACTTTGACAAGTCAAGCAGCAGAAACTGATCCTCAGGCCCATTGCCAGCGGATAAGGATGCGTCAACTGTAGGAGCTCGATGAGCTGGCCTTGACCTATGTGCCTGTGCCTGCCATAGATCTGGCCCAGATGGTAACTCAGAGCACGAACAAGGAATCATATTTACAATAATTGCCGCACTATAGTTTCGATATTGTAATGGGATGCGCAGAGAAGGTAAGGTGATGACTTCAAACGATACAGGAGGCACTTCCGCTCAGAAAGAGGCGTCCCATGTCCTGATCCGACAGGACACAGCCAAATGATGGCGTTATAGGGATTACATTTAAAAACATCCTTAAAATGCCATTATCCTTAAAGTCCTTACATCCGAAAGGACTGAAAACGATAAAGGACATTCGCCTGATCACGAGGAGGTGTGGCATGTCCTGATCGGCTCCCAAATTAAGGAGAAAACAATAAAACAAAACATTGATTTTACCAGAAATTGTCTTTTTACATGCTCCTGTTTGGTGTTTTTCAGAAAATCTAAACGCTTTTCGGCATAATGGAGCTGGAGGATGAGGATCGTACGCGTCTCTAGCAGGTCTCCAGACAGATCGCCGATGGGGCCCGATTCGCCAACTATGTGGTCAATCTGGAGAGTGAATGCTCTTCAATGTAACCTTCTTCCATTCGAAGATCGAGAAAGGCAAGCATGATCCACTCCTCTTTGGGATGCAATCAGGACTACAAGTTCTACATCGAAGTGGCCGATTTCCAATCTGATTTGATACCATGTCGGAGTAGGTTACGTTTAGGTTAATCAGATTTAGATTAGCATTACACAAATATCAACCAATTTTGTAAACATGGAATGAAGCAAGTTTTGTGTAACAATAAAAAGTGTGGCATGCTTTCAGGATGCTACGATATTGTTTTCCAATATTTGAAGTATCTTTTGGGGGCTGGTTTGATTCGCCAAAGTGTTTCATACTTTCAAGCTGAACGGATCCCTATTATAGAATAGCGTAAAACAGCCATATCCTGCAGTCCTTGAGGTCCTTGATGATTTCAAACGATACAGGAGGCACTTCCGCTCAGAAAGAGGCGTCTCATGTCCTGATCCGACAGGACACAGCCAAATTATGGCGTTATAGGGATTACATTTAAAAACATCCTTAAAATTTCCATTATCCTTAAAGTCCTTACATCCGAAAGGACTGAAAACGATAAAGGACATTCGCCTGATCAAGAGGAGGTGTGGCATGTCCTGATCGGCTCCCAAATTAAGGAGAAAACAATAAAACAAAAATGTCCTGTTGTTGTCAATTTATGATTTTGTTGTTGTTGTACTACAAAAGAGGTTTTTGTAATTGTTGTAAAACAAGACATAGTTTGTTGTACAACAAACAACTTTTAAAATTGCGTCGGTCAAATGGCAATTTTCGGGCCGAGTACTAGGCGAACATAAATCAGCAGAAGGTAGCTGGTTCTTTTGTTTTTTCATTGTGTCAAGAGCTGGATGCTATGAAACTAGGCGGGTTTTTCAAATCTTAAATCACTAAAGGTATGCACCAAATCGTAGTTCCATATGCCACTTTTGGTTTATTGTTTCTGAGCGCATTATCGTTTAAACCCATCAAGGACCTCAAGGACTGCGGGATATGGATGTTTCACGCTTTTCTGCAATAGGCTTTTTATTGTTTTACAAAACTTTGGTAATTCCATGTTTACAAAATTTGTAGTTTTATTAGATAATCCTAGCCTGCTTAACCTAGGCTTAACCTAAAGCGATGTGGTCTCTGTCTCAGATTGGAAATCGGCCACTTAGATGGAGAACTCGTAGTCCTGATTGCATCCCAAAGAGGAGTGGATCATGCTTGCCTTTCTCGATCTTCGGATGGAAGAAGGTTGCATTCACTCTCCAGATTGACCACATAGTTGGCGAATCGGGCCCCAGCGGCGATCTGTCTGGAGACCTGCTAGAGACGCGTACGATCCTCATCCTCCAGCTCCATGATGCCGAAAAGGGTTTAGATTTTCTGAAAAACACCAAACAGGAGCATGTAAAAAGAAAATTTCTGGTAAAATCAATATACACCTTACTTTCTCTGCGCATCCCATTACAATATCGAAACTATAGTGCGGCAATTATTGTAAATATGATTCCTTGTTCGTGCTCTGAGTTACCATCTGTGCCAGATCTATGGCAGGCACAGGCACATAGGTCAAGGCCAGCTCATCGAGCTCCTACAGTTGACGCATCCTTATCCGCTGGCAATGGGCCTGAGGATCAGTTTCTGCTGCTTGACTTGTCAAAGTCAGAGTATTTATGGCATCCTTGTCATCTGTGAGATCTATCCAGGATGGACCAGTAACACGAATCGATCGTCTGATACCGAGGCCTAATAGGCTACCGCACAGGTCATCGGACGCTTGTGTCATTCCGCGTGGTCACTCATTTGCGTGCCATCCAACTTCCCCACTACGTAGCAGACCTATTAGTCGCACGCCGGCATGCAGCAAGAGAATAGAGTTCTAAAAACATAAAACATTTACGAAATTTGCAAAAAAGATCACAGAAAATGTGGTGTAGACAGCATGGAGCGCTGGGAATCTTACATGCAGTCTGTTTGGTACCTACCTCCTTGTTCTCGTACTGCAATTGGCATGCTGCGGCTTCCGCCATGACTGTTTATCGGTTAACCTACGTTTTTAATACGTAAATTATACTATGATAATTGTTTTCAATAAAATTGTTAAATTAGCAAACATTTGTTGCTGTGGTAACCAGTGTTGAAAAATGCACAATGGAACTATCGATAGTAAACAGGCATATCGAGTATTCAATTGATGTCTGACAACAGCTCGCCGCTATGAAACGGAGGTATGGATTCAATTCAAACACGCTGCACCTATGTTCAAAAGATGTTCATAAAATTGGCCTAAAGTATCCTATTAATCGAGTCCCAATATATTCTTTATACATTTTGGAAGTGTTTGAAGCTACTATCACAACAGTAATCAAATGCACATACTAAATAATGAATTAATTAAGTATATATAAAAAACAGTCCACAAAACGGCTACATTTTGCTTAATATTAAACAGAGAATTGGACAACTTAAGAGTAGATACAAATACGATTGTACGATACGAACATTTAAAGAGCAGGAACTAGGGGGGAATAACATACATTCATACGACACGGGGCTCGGATTTGGGAAAAGAGTGCAAAAGTAGTAAATTATTTACGGTGATCAAATAGGAATATATATGTATATGAATAGAGGTATAGCAATATAGCTAGGGTAAATTGCACATTGTGGGCCATGGGGGACATGGACGGGCAGGGGGTTACGCCTGTTGCAGGTTCTGATAGTAGGTGGCCAGAATTTTCCAAGCTTCAGGCTCCATGAAGCCAACAGGTGGACTGGCACCGGTCTTAGCCAGCGTGCGCATCTTGGTGCCCGATATAAACTCGAACTCGTCCTTGCGCTGTGGCTCAAAGAAAGCCATCCGGCTGGCACTGTTGTCGTACGCGGCCACACGGAATGGCAGGATCTGGAGAACAAAAAAAGAAGCAGAAAATATAAATAGTTTCCATTTCAGTTGCTTTCGCTACTCACCTCCATGCTGTCCAGACCCTGGGCCATCTTTAATACACGCGCTCCATGTGTGGCATCGTAGAGGTTACCGTCGGGATAGGCTCCCTTATCTGGATGCGGCATGCCGGCTGGATCGCGGCCCACTATGTAGAAATTGGCGCCGGCATTCATGCGCGCCTTGGCATGCCACTGCACCTCTGTGGGGCCGGCGTACATCATGGGCGATGGAAAGATGGCCAGCACAGTGTCCTCGCGCCGCAGGACGCCGGCATCGAGGACGGCCTGGTGTTGTCTCATGCGTACATCCAGGGGCACATCATCGTCCTTGGTCCAGCCACCTAATGGATGCAACAGCAGGACCGGCTGCTTGAAGCCCCGCTCGAGCAGCTGCCTCTTCGTGTCCTGCATGAGGAGAGCGTGACCGTTGTGAATGGGATTCCGCAGCTGAAAGGCGAAGATGGCATCGGCGTTGAGCTCCTTGAACTTGCGGCGCAGCTCGTTCGGCGTCAGACGGTACTGGTCGAGCCCATCATCCCAGCGGATGCGTTCGATTACGGCCAGATCGCCGCCCACGAGATACTCGCCGGACTCGAGCACCTGCTTGCTGTACGGATGGTTGGGATTGCTGGTGCCGAACTGGCGGGCCAGACGCTCCTCCTTGCGCTGATAGTAGAACTCTGGACGGCGCAGAATGGCCACTGGCTTACCCTCATGCGTCAGCGTCAGGGCAGACACACCGTCCAGCCGCTCCTTGTCCTCTGCCGTGGCGCTAAGCACAATTGGCACCGAGTGGTTTTCGCGATAGGAGCCATCCATTCCACTCTGGAGTGTGTTGAAGTGCAGCGTCTGCAGGTACTCGTCTTCCCGCATAAATCCGCGCAGGGGATAGGCCCATCCCTCCGACAGCACCTGCACCCACTGCAGCTCCACGGTGCTGATTGGTAGCGCCTTCAGGGACTCTGCCTCGTGGCGCAGAGCATCGCTGGCAATGGACTCGCTGGGATATAGCTCCGGCAGAAGATCGACGTCACGCAACGACCTCGGAATGATGCCCTCCTGTTCGAGCAGTGTCACTAGCTTCTGCGTGGACTCCTGCACTGTGCACTCGTGGGTGCTGACCACCAGTTCGGGCTTGTGCGGCCGCTCGTACTCCTGCGTGATGCCCGTGAAGCCCTTAATGACGCCCTCGCGTGCCTTCTTGTACAGCCCCTTGACGTCGCGCGTCTCGCACACGTCCAGCGGTGTGTCTACGAAGATCTCGTAAAACTTTAATCCCGCATCCTTGTGTATCTTGCGCGCCATCTCCCGATCGTCGGCGAACGGCGACACGAAGCTGCAAATGGAGACCACACCGCTGTCTGCAAACAACTTTGCCACCTCGCCCACCCTGCGGATGTTCTCCTCGCGCTCGGCGGGCGTAAAGCCCAGATTCTTGTTCAGACCGGTGCGAATGTTGTCCCCATCCAGGCCATAGGCGGGTATGCCACGCGACACCAAGTACGCCTCCAGCTCAAAGGCAATCGAGGTCTTGCCAGCACCACTGAGACCTGCAGAAAGCAATCAAAATGTATAGTTGTACTTCCCTGACCTGACCGGAAGAAAGGCCTTACCCGTCAGCCACACTGTGCATCCACGAAAGCCGCGACAGAGGCCCAAATTCTTGCCGCGTGTCTCGCGGGTGACATGGTGCTTCTGTTCGGTCACATTCGTCGCCACTTGGAGGCACTGCAAACAAAAAAACAGACAAAACAAAGGTTGGTAGAATTCGCGGAGCTTAGCTTTCCAAATTATCATAAATTAATATTCATGTCAAGATGGCGATGCCGTCTGTGTCTGTGTCGATGTCGTTGCCTCGGGCTGTTGCCGGTTGAGCCAAAAGCAGAGTCATCAAATTGATTCGCGCTTTGACCCTAGGGCGATCGATCTAAAAGCTTTGCTATTGCTGCTGCTCCATCACTCAGTTTGTTGACCTTTTCGCAGCAGCTTGTGTCGGCAGAATCACGAATGGAATACGCTCGGATAGGACTGGTATCTCGATATGAATTATGGTGAAGGTTTGCCATACGACTGACGATACGAAGGAGAGCGAAAACACAGCGCTTCTATTGGGTAGAATACTTGCACATTTCTGCATGCTTTACTTGTTATCAATTATGAGTAGATGTGGCTGGTGGTAGATTGTGTGGCAGTCTGTCACATTTCTATCTGCCCCTACTTCCTTACCCTTCTTTTGATATGGGGATAAAATCCAATGGGCGGATTCGGCATTGCTGTTTGCTGTTTGCTTAATTTTTCACTTCACTATATTTTCGATTCGAAAATGTTTTTACATTGAGC